TTTTTTAATATGGAAGAGAATGTAAGTAATGCCGTATAACTGCGGATGCCGTGCAGGGAGAGAGAAAGCCAGCAAATATTTGGAAGTCAGGCTGAAATATGTCCAGGCAGTGGGCAGATTAGATAGAAAGGAAGTAAAACCATTTTACATTTGAAAGAATGCAGCTCCTAGGTAAGGATTCTGTGTTTTAATCTGTAACGTTAACACGGTTGTTAAGAACGCGGATTTGACTTCAGATTTCTGATCTGGGAACTGTCTGGTGGAGCATGCAGCCAGGGTAGATCTTTCCAGGTAATAAAAAAAAAAAAAAAGACAATAAGAATCTATTTTTAGGTGTTAATTTTTATGCCTTGATAACAGTGTTCTGGAAAATGGAGTAGATGTCTGTGTGAGAATAATGGTACGATTAGATAAATATAACGATGAATGTGTGCAGAATATAAAATCCTCTGGGTTTTTTTCTTCTGTTTGCAGTGAAAAGGACTGAATAGGCCACATTTTGCAGGGTGTGAACTGTTGCAATCTGTATAGGTCTGTTTGTATTAGCGTTGGTTAAAATTGCAGGCTATCAGTCACTAAAAATCAAGGATTGCTGTACTAGTTTTCTAGAATCCATTTTTCATGGCTATTGCAGAAAAGTGCTGTGTGTTTCAAACAAAGAAGGGGGAGGGGGAAAGCTTGGTGGTTTAAAAAAAAAAAAAAAAAAGGCATTCCCGGAATAGAGGTTATTTTTAAAGAATACTCTAAATGAGGAGTAGTGGAGCAAAGGATTCCAGACAGGTAGATGTGCTGGTAGGAAGAGCTGCAGAATCCATTATTTCCAGGTGACAAGTAGACGTATAAAAATAAGGTGGGCATTTTCGTGCTGAAGGTATGTAGCAGGGGATAGATATTAAATCTTTTTAGATTATGTCACAGCGGAACTGTCATTCTGGCCCATTAAATCAAATTCCTGATTCAAATGTTACTATACGTATTCTAATTGTGGGCCATGCTAGATATTACAGTTGGAGAGCTTTTAGGGAATTTATCATAATTTCTGTTTTCTTTTCCCTTAGAAAGGCAATAATACTGGTTGCAGAGAGAATCGACAAGTGAATGATACTGCCTTGCGTTTATTTAACTACAAATGTTGCGTTACTCAATTTTTGCATTTGTATTTTAATCAAGGTCAAAATAGCTTCTGTCCATCCTCTGCCAGAATTTTCTCAGTGGACCTTTTGTTTTAGAACTGCAAATTGTTGTTATTACTGGAGATGGGAGGGAGATCTTCCCCCCAATCTTCTGAAATGCACAGCAGTTTTGCTGTCAAGGCCCGGCCAGCTGCTGACCACCAATGATAGGCCTTCATTAAATCAATCAAAGGGACACAGACCTACTTAATATATAATGAGAGCATAAAGTCAGCCAGAAGAGTCTAATTCTGGGTATGGAAAGGATCCTGTTTTTCTGAAGTAGGATCTTTTATAATGGTAATGTAGTAGAGAGTCCTACTGTAGCAGGTAATAATAGATCCTACCATTTTTCCAGTAGCTGGGTTAAAACCTGTAACTTTGTTTTGACAGAATCTGTCTTTCTAATTGTGCTGCCTTTCATGACATCTTAAAGAGTGTGGTAGAATTGGTACAACAGGGATTCCAGGCTTTACATGGCTCTTCTTTGATGGCTTTTGTAAGCTGAGGAGTGGGAACCAATATGGTGGTGGTGAGATGCTAATCCTCCTCGTCCGTGGTAACTCACTTGTGTGGTCCAGAGTTTACTATGAAGGAAAAAAATGTGGAAATTGCTTGTCATTGACTTTAACAGGGATTGTGTTACATTGAGTTGCTCAGCATGTTCAAACTGTTGGATTTTTGGCAATAATTGCAATATATGGTACAACTCAGGATTAGTTTTCATTCTCAATGTGAAGTTTGAATAGCAGACCACACACTGCTTGTGTCACAAGAAGTGGAAAAAATCAGGAGGTACTATACAAAAAAAAAAATTCTTTATCAAATGAAAATTTAAAGAATCACACAATTGGTTGGAATCCACTTAAAAATCTGGATATCGCTTTTGGTTCTTATCCATTTTTCAACTTGTCAAAATAAGAGAATTAACTGTGTTTTGAGGGTACATTTGACAGTCGCAGAATGCACTGCAGCTAAAAGGAAAGAGAAACTCTGAACTCCAGTATCTCCACATAGAAATAGAAATTTTTGGAACATTACCTGATTTTAATTAAAAATTAGATTATATGTACTACTGTATTTGCTTGTATTTAAGTTGTTCTGTTAGGGAAGAAATCATACATATTTGTTTCTCAGGATTAAATAGTCAAATACTCCCTGTTTTACAAGGGAACACGTAGGCAACATTTGGGTTTGCCTCTCAGTCTCCCTGTAGGCCATTCTGATTCCAAAAGAATCAAGATTTTAACATGCAGTTTTCAGTATGTGTTCTTAAGAGAGACTTTCACATAACGTCAATGTAAAATTGAGGAATTTGTTCTTTAGAGTTTGAATTCCACCAGTTACAAAATTGTATCTTTTTACAATATCAGGAGCTAGAAAAAGAGATTTTTATCTTACCTGTAGCGGTGGTTGTAACACCATCTTTGAGAGACTGTTTCAACTTATCTATGTCACTTTAATAATAGTTCCTTGTTCTCCCCTCCACCCCCTCCTCAATGGAACATGCAAAAAATGTTCAGAAAAAAATTCCAGCTAGCTGTCTCCATGCCTCATTGAAGAAAGAGTTGTAGCACCTCCAGGTGTATGATTGGAGCAATTTTCTTAGTCTTCATTTTGACAGTCACCTGCAGGATGTATCTGTAGTATGTTTAATACTGTGTATTCATTTTAAAGTTTTTAGGGTTCTTGCATCACAGCAGCATCAAGAAACGTCAGTCAGAGTTGCTTTACGTGGTTGAGCAGGGAAATTGCCAGAAGCATTTTCCAATATACCTATTCTGCAAATAAGCAAGGATTTCAGTTCTCATGATAAGTCATTACCATATATTTTATTAGCGCTAAGTTCATAAAGGAAGGATGAGTACATGAAATCCATGATGTGTTTTAGAAAGCTTGTGATTCCTAAAAATGATCAGTAGTCATCTATTAAAAGACTTAGATTTTGCCTCAAAGTTTTTCTTGTTTCTCATGTAGTCTTTTCTCTAAGTGACTGTGGGAGACCACATAAAATGATACCTGACTCCATTTCTGTTGCAACCTATGTGTATTTTAAGATAACATTGAAGAAGCTGACACTAAAAATTAAATACAGGAATACAGTAATTTCAAAGTTAATGAAGCATGGTAACCTGAAACAAGTAGTTTATTTACATATGTTAAAAAAAAAAAAAAAACAAAACTAAGCAGCTGTGGTGTATAATATGTGGGATACCCTTTAAAAAAAATAGCGAAACATTGATTAGCTAATCATCCTTCTCATGCATGCATGTATTTGTAGGAGTTTTGACTATGGTGAAGCATGGCCTACATCACGCCATGCACAAATGTTCTTTACAAAGACTTTCTTGCTCAGAATTTTTTGCTAACAGGTGCTCTTAGAATACTCCTCAAGTAGGAGCAAAGAAGTTGCAAAACGAGGTGCAGCTCTAGAGTGAGTAATTGTTGAGGATGGTTCAATTCCTCATTCTTGTTGGTATAAACTAACATTTTAAGATCACTGTTATCTCCACATGGTGTAAAGCTGTTAACTTGTTGCAATCAGTTTAATTCTTTTCATTTTGTTAATTAGCATTCAAACTTGGCATCAGAAAGCAAACGTGCAAATGATGAAAACGCATTTAAGTACTCTAAAGCAAAAAAATTACATTAGCTTTAATTCTGGCAGCTTCTCTTGTTCATATACTCTTCTGAACTCCAAATCCTATGCACATTGTTCTTCCTCTTATTTATTTCACGGAAGACTTTATGGTATTGTCAGTCTATTAATAACATAAAAGAAAGATCTGTCCCTGGTTCCTTAGCCCTGTGTTGGTTGAGTATATGGTGTACATGCTTGTAAGTACAGATTCATTCTTTGTTTTGTAAAAAAAAATATTTCATCCTTTGTGCTCCCACTCAGCTCTACAGGTTATCATCCACAGAAGCTTCAACATCTTTGTGTAGAGTAAACGATGAGTCAGGATAACAGAGCTATATTCTTGTTTAAAATCATTGTAAAGACAGAGTCAAAACTCATGGTGAATAAAGTGGCTTGAAACTAAATGAAGCAAAGCCAGTTACAAGTTTTCTACAGATTTCTGTGGGTTTTATGTTGTGCTTATTTGCTGATAGTTATTCTAAAAATAATACTACAAAATACTTGAACACTGGTAGTATTACTTGGAAGGCAATGAAAAATTGAGTTGGGAAGGGAGTATGTCCCTTATACAGAGATCCTATGTTGATTGTTGAATTCATTGTTTTACTATTTACAATATTTTCTAACTGATGTGACCTGCTAGTCAGAAAGGAGGGAAAAAAAAAAAATCTCAAACCCATAAAGTTTCATCTTTTTAATTACAAGCAAAAAAGGGCATCTTGGAGATTCTTTTTAATGAAATTCAGCCTGTCACCTGGAGACAAAAAACCTCCACATTTTCTTATGTTGCATTTAGTTACGGGTATTGGATGAGCAACAGAAAGGTCTCAGTTTTGAACTCCTGCTACTTAAGATTTTCATATTGTTTTGCCCCTCACTTGGGCTTACCTTTGGCTACAGTCTCCCTTTTTTGCAACATCATTATAGGAATAAAACGAAATGGAGAGACAGAACTCTCTTAAGAAAACTGATTTTGAAGACCTGTCCCTGTGAACTTATCCCCAGTCTAAAATGGATATAAGTGTCTGGATAGGAGAAGTGAGTTTTGGTGCGTACTGAAAAGAGGTGCTAGGAATTTTAGCTCTCCAGAGATGGTGATGGCAGGTTGTGGCATCAACATTTCTTAGGTGTTTGCTTCACTTTGGGTGCAGCATTTAAGGTTGCTGGCACAGGAGCTTAGATGATGGTTGATGTATTTAAAATAAAACTCAACTCTTAACTCAGAACAGTAGACACACCTGCAAAATCATTATGTCCAGTTACAAATAGATAACCTTGATGAAAAATGACCTCTTACAAAAATCCCATGTATCTTAATGTTGGAATAAGCATATCCATGAAGGGTTTGTCTTTTGCGTTTTGGCCAGCAGCAAAAAACAAAGACTTTGAAATAGCTGATACATGATTTATTCCTTGCTGACAATTACTCAGGTCTAATCCAAGTCACCTGTCAGAAGGATTTGGTGTCTACCCTGGCATTGGTACCAGGCAGGCTGCAGACTGTCTTTGTCAAGGGGTTGTTACGTAGCTCATATACCATCGACAGAGGGAAGGTAGGTACAGGGTTCAGGATGCCTCTCACAGGTGGATGAATATTGCAGTCAGATTTTATGCCCTGGTCCTGCAAGTATGTAAAAACTTTTTCATCTCTCCTTTTTGCCTTTCTTCAGCTGAAAATACTTGGTATCAGTGGCATGGTTAAGATTCTGTCTGCGAGAATGCTATTTCTAACCCACATTTCTGCTGTTCTGACCTACAGTTCTGGTTTGGCATTATGCCCACAAAAGAAAAATTACTTGAATTCAACTACTCAGAAATATTTCTGAATGTTTACTGTTATGTAGATACATTTAGTTTGCTTAGTTTGAGTTGTATTGCCTTTAATCAGTAAACATTACAGTAGATGGTAGAAATTTCTCGATCTTGAAGTTGGTTTGCAGTCTAAATGGAGAGAAAAAAAGCTTTGGTTTCTATAGCGATAATTCATTTGTTAACCTGGAAGAACATAATAATTCTATAGATAACTGTTCTCTTTATATAATCCCTATAATATGCAGTATGGGCAAATGGTAACTGATGCTGTACAATGTTGTGATTATTCATTTAATTTCCTTCAATCATTTCCCAAGGAAAAAAAAAAAAAGAAGGAAAATAAGAACCAGATATTGTCTCTGCCTGATTGTAGGTGATCCCTGTTGGGCTTTGAAGCTCAGAATTCACTGAAGCAGGCAGGGCTGAAATTCATTCTGATGCTGGGCAGATTGCTTTCTGGTTAACAAGACAGTAGCATATACATTCACATTTCATTGCCTGTCTTCCTGCCCTGAAGCTTAAAGTTTACAGAATGCAGAGACGACTGAAATTGAAATTGCTGTTCTGGTTTCCTTCTGGAACTGCTTGTGACTTTTCTGTTATTTTTAATATTGTAATGATAAGATTTTTTGACACGTACTGTACGTCTTTCCTTCAAGACAGCTGCAGCCTTCCTTGTGCAAACTGCCTTACCAGCAATCCCTGTGATTGCCAGGCTGGCAGGAAGAAAGAGGCATGCGTAAAGCATTGCAGGGAAAAGATTTTTTTTTATTTTTTTTTTCTCTCTGCTAGAATCTCAGAATTCCATGAAGTATATGTAGCTTTGTAGACATTATTTTCCCCCACCCACCCACCCAATAAATTTACCTTATTTTCATGGTTTCCACCTGAAAAAAAAAGAAAATCTTTATTTCATGCTGTGGACTGCTTACCATAAAGTTTGTGTTTATGTCTTTGAGGCTTTAAGCTGTAACAATAAAACTAAGGAATTTATAATAATAAATTATGGAAATACATGTTGAGGGAATTATGGAGGTGACTCTAAAAATGTTTCCAAATATGAGCTGAAATAGAGCATTGGAACTTAATCACAAAACAAATACTGTCTGGAGCATCAAAAACAGGAACAGTTGGAGAAAGAATTGTTGTGCAACCTTAGCTGTATTTGGGGCAAGGAATATTAGTTAAACAAACAAACAAAAAAACAAAACCCACAACAAAACAAAAATGCCTCAAGCAAACAAAAAACAAATAAACCTAGAGTTCTTGTGACCTGCTTCAGTCTTGTAAATAAGAATATTGTATTAGAACAATATGTTAAGTATATTAGTGTTTTCATTTTGAGGGTCACACTTACGTTCTATTGAGGCCTTTTTCCTGACCTGCATTTTCTTTTTTTCCTCCTGAGGGGTGCACTTCAGTCTCCTGAGTAAATTTTGTTTTCTGCTTATTTCACCATTATAGGGGTGCAGGGCCAAATGGGAAGTGGTTTGGGTTTAGCTCTTGCTGTTAGGTTTTTGTACAAATAAATTGTTACTTTGCATATTTTATGTTTTCATTATGACTGCATTTGTTTTCACAGCCTGAGGAAGAGCTTGATCCTGAAGAGAGGGACAACTTCCTCCAACAGCTTTACAAGTTTATGGAAGACAGAGGTAACACTAAATTACTTAGTTTTGTTTTTTTAAAAAAAATTTATTTAATTTCTGGTCCACTTTTTAAATGGCTTCTAAAACTTACTTTTAAGTGTATGGATGTTATCAGTAGGGTATTCTCATGTCAGTGAAAAAGGATAACATCTAGTCTCTGGTGCAAAGAAAAACACTTCTACCCATTTTCACGTGTGGCAGGTCTGCTTCCAGTACTTCGAAGCACAGTGCACAAAGGAAACTGAAATCCTTCCGGAGGTGCTCTTTTTTGTTTTGCTTTCACAAACCTTTTTTATGTTAACAATCCCTGTTAAATAAGCTCTTGGTTGATTTCTTGTTGTGACAGCCATTGCTGGGAGCTCTGCTGCTGTTAATCTCAGGCTGGAACCTGAGGAGGCTATTCGTGGATGGTGAAATTGAACCAGCAGAGAGTGGGAGATGTGCCATCTTCAAGTCTCCTTGCAGAACTGTCTTAATAACGTGCAGATGTAGCAGTGATACTCACCTGAAGACACAACTTAAAAAATTCTACTTTGTCCAGTAGCTAGAACAAGAAAATAGCATATTTTAAATGTCTGTCTTTACAGAATTAGGTGAGACTTTTATAAATTGGAATAGTTAAAAGTCCTAGCATAAGATACATATTGGAAGTGCGTGCACTATGTCTATAGAGGAGGATATACCTGCTGACTTGGGGGAACTGTTGTTGCATAAGCCATTCACATTTGCAGTTGTGATGAGACTGACACAAAAATGGAAGGTTTTCTGTTCCTTGGCTGCACACCCTCCCTCCTTTTTTTTTTTTCTTTTAAGTATATTTAAGCCTGGAAAGAGTTTTGTCTTTCAGAGTATATTTGTTTTATTCACTTTACTCGTGAACACACTATTTCAGTTTGAATACTGTAAGCATTAATCCTGCAATAACATTGGTGGAGGTAGATTACAAGTGCAACTACTGCTTTTTTACCTTTTTTCCTTTCTTTTTCCATGACAAAAATTACCTGTATGATATTGCTGTAGCAGCATACAGTACAGCAAATGTTGATGTACTTGAATTTGAAATAACCAGAGCGAAGAGTAAAATGTAGCGTGCATGATGTAGTGTTCGAATATTTCCCCCTTTCCTTTTTTCTTAGGTTTTATAATGGGGGGGGGGGGGAATCAAGTTACCTTTGTAAAAGAGGCTCTGCATCCCTATTGACGAGGTGTGTTCTAGACCACAGAATTGTAAAAAAACAGTTCCAAGTCTGTTCAGTATTGCCAGTTCTTATCACAGGTTTAGAAATTGATCATGTATTGTAGCAACATATGCTGGTGTTCATCCGATATAATTTTGAGGCCTCCGGTGCATAACCAGTGTTTCTGAAAAATAACCTGCTTTGGGGGAGTAGGAGGCTATGTCTGGGGGAAAAAAGTCCCTTTGCTGCTGAACTAATTGCAATTTTCTTTCTTTTCTAGTAGCCTGATTCTTTCCCCTTTGCTGTTTTCCTCCTTCCTCACTCCCTTTCCTAAGCACTCTTAGATAAAACCAAGTAGGGATCATGTCAGGGACTTGTAGAAGCAAAAGAAGAAAGCATTTGTGCACTGAATTTGAAGGCTCAGTCCAGAAACTACTCTCTAAGCTAGTATGTCGACTGAGTGATATACAGCACTTTTTCAGGACTGGATCTTTCCCCCGATGGTTTGTTTGTTTTTTTGTTTTTTTTTTTTTCTCCTCGGCCCTGGATAGCAAGATTTCTGTTCTCACCAGATTTGTTCTACATTCTGTTCTCTCAATATGAATGTTTTGATTCACGTAATCATGACAGTATTCCCGAAGTCCTATAAAATTATTTTAATGAATCCAAATGTAATTGCATGAAGATGAGAAGCAGCAGGGAAGAGGTTTGATATTCTTCCTTGCTGGGAGGAATACTGTCTGCATATGCAGCCACTTGCCCCAAGTCACTTTTGGTTTCTTCTTTTGCAATTAATTATCGTTCTTTGTATCATTGCCACTCATCTGATTGGAGTTCTTTCTTTTTTTCAGAATTATTCCAAATACTCATGTCCTGTTAGGGCTTTATGCTTTTTCACATTCTAACAGTTTGCCTGTGTATCTTTTTTTAATCCAGCATTTCTGCTTCTTCCCCACTCCTTCCAGACCACAGTGTTTTGAGTTAATCTCTTCATGCATTGCTATATTCCAGCATTCATCGGGTGTTCTGTAGAGCTTTCTGCAATTCTGGCTGTCCCCTTGCTCAAGAGAGGAACAGTGGGATGCAGCCAACTGGATGGGGCTTACTGCACAAATCTGAGGAGGTCAAGAAATCATAGTTGTCAAGCAGTTGGTGCCACTATGCTAATAAACCACCCAGAAATACGTGATGCATTCAAAAGAGGGCGAAGCTTAAATTGGTGGTTGGAAACTACTGACTTGTGACATATCTTAGAACTATTAAATATGGATTTTAAAATGTAGAAAGATATCAGTAATCAAATGTGTGCTAAAGGAACAGAAGAAGCAGTTTACTGTTCTGTGTGGTAACTTTTTATTTTTGGTTTTGTTTTATTTAGGTACTCCTATCAATAAGCCACCTGTTCTGGGCTACAAGGACCTTAATCTCTTCAAACTTTTTAGACTTGTGTATCAGCAGGGTGGGTGTGACAATGTAAGTGTTGGATGTTTCCTGAACTAAATGCCTATTAATTCTTAAAGGTTATGGCTTGTGGCTGTGTTAGATGTCATTCCTTAATGTTCTTGGTTAACAAAACCTGAAAACTTTCTTTTTTTTCTTTTTTCTTTTTCTTTCTCCCCAAAGATCGAGAGTGGTGCTGTATGGAAGCAAATTTATATGGACCTTGGCATTCCTATTTTGAACTCAGCTGCTTCCTACAATGTAAAAACTGCTTATAGAAAGTAAGTGCTCATATTGTATAATGGCGAAACTAATGAGCAGTTCTGAGCATTTTCCAGCGCTGAGTACTGAAACGCTGGAGTAAAGGACGGAGTGCTCAGGGCTGCATAAATTCCCGTTGCTCTAATAATTAGAATTTCACTCATTTTCTTATCAAGAAGCATTCACTTTCAGCATGCAATGATGCCGTTTTCAGAGTACAACAACGAAACTTAGTAAAAAAGCTTTGGCAAATTCAGCTTTACAATTTATGGTGATTAACAAGAGTGGACTCTGTCCTCAGTCTTTAGATGCTGCATGCAGTGAGGGCAATTTTATACCGGATTCTTTAACTTCCTCAAAAACATTGCTAGAGATAGACATGTTTGAGATTGCATATTTAAATACCATATTTATGAAACCTGGAGAATAATGGTTTTAAGGCATAACTTTGTACATTGCTATGGTGGATGTGACAATACTAAGTAGTAAAATCACTGCTTGTAATAAAAAAAAAAAGCATAAATCTTTTTATTCTGACCACTGGTTTTCAGTTGTGTTTTAACTTTTGAAATGGAAACCTTTTAGGAATGACACTTTCAAGCTCATTTTCTAAATAAAGATTATTTTTATTATTTATTCTCCTGGAAGTTTGACAAGAAACAATTGGGCTTTTTGAGTAAAAGGGAAGAATGAGGTTCTCTTGACTCGAACCTAAGGAAATTTGGCTGATTGAATAGGGATGGCTAATGACTCAACTCATGTTAATGTTGATGAAGATGAAAATATTCAGACTATCTTCAGTGGGATTTGAACTGGGCACATATTTAAGGTCTGTATTTACAGAGAAGAGTATTTATCATAAAAAGAGTAATTGGTAAATATGTACTAAGTTGCTGTTACAGTGGAAACAATTATGTTGTATGGACATATGATAGTACGTTGTAACTTGCTTATTTGTTCTTTGAGGAATAAGCTAGTTCGTATTTCTCTCACTTATAACTGGATTAGAATATGCACACAGGTAGCTGATGCATGGCAACTTGTTACCATGTGGTAGTTAACTTGTTTGTATGCCCATATCCTAATACTAGGCTGATTTTAGCAGTCATGCATTTGCAGAACAGTGTAGATGACCTTAGGCTTTACTGTCATGATTTCTTAATTGGATGGGGATGAAGTTAAATTTGTGGGAAGCACCTGTGCGTATTCTTTCTCACCGTTTGACTTGTGTGCATAATTGTTTCATTTCAGAAATCTTCTCTGGCTTGTTTGTTTGTTTATTGGGTTTTGTTGTTGGTTTGGTTTTTTTTCTTGAAGTTACTGCTCCTCTTACTTTTCTGGGAGCAGGAAAAAAAGGTTATATGCACTTCATTAAGCAGAAAATAAAACATGAAATATAAATGAAACTTTATTTATATCTATAGGTATCTTTATGGTTTTGAAGAGTACTGCCGTTCTGCAAACATTCAGTTTAGGACCATCCATCACAATGAACCAAAAGTGGTAGAAGACATACAGAAACACGTGGAACCAATGGAGGAAAGTGTAAAAGAGGAACAAAAAATGCCCCCAACAGAAGTTAAAAAAGAAGCAGAAGAAAATTATTCCAGCAGTGAAAGTGAAAAAGAGGAAATAGAACTAAGATCCCCAAGGGTAAGTGGTTTGAACTGATTTCTATTTAGTACTTAACAAAACCCCTTTGTATAGTGAACAGTTTACATAATAAGTTTTCCCTTGTAGAGTGACTGTACGTTTGAATTGGCGTCCTTGTACGAGCGTAGGACAGGGTTCTGGGAACACAGAGTTGGTGTTAACTGTTGATTATGTTCTACCTGTGAATAGAATCAGTTTTGACTATTTCTTTGTATTCTAAACCATCCGTGGGGTTTTTTCAGGCTGTGTTGCGTATCAGATGTGTTTTGATTCAGGGATGGCTTGAGAGCTGTGTATCATCAGAACAGTGAAACTCAGCAGGACAGTCTTGGTTTTGGGTGAGAATTTCCACAGGCACATGGAGTCTGGAGCTTTCTGGCAAGAAGCAGGAATATCAAGGAACTGCTGCAGCTTTAAGAATCAAAAGAACACCCATTTCTCCGAGTTTATTTTTATCACGATATTTCTTCTTTTAATAAAAGAAATACTGCAATTTTACAGTATGTAGACAAAAGTAGAGGGAGGAAGACTTATGTTTTGTCATCTTTTGTCTTTGAATGCTGTAGAGGTGAGGGTTGTATTAGTTACATAGATAAGACCCAGTGGCCCATTAGCTAGTGGATACTGAACATGATGGAGAATACAAGAATACTTTTAAGGTATTTGAATATGAGACTGTAGCACTCCTGTTAGTTCTGTTAAAAGGACATCTTGTGTTCCTTAATAGAGAATGATTACTGAAGGACAAGGAATTGCTACTTTTTAAATTGTTCAAGTTGTAAGGATTCTGTTCAAGTAAAATGTAATTCTATTAAAGTACTTCTTGCAAACTGGCTTTTCAAGCAAGCATATGGCCTTTAAACAAATAGATTAAAAGATATAGTGTAAACATAAGTTTAGATTTGTATTAAGTATTATATATCTATCTAACTGCAAGTGGTTTTTCCAAGCTGTATCAGCCTGAATGAGCTCCCAGGCGCGACATTAGCTTTGTTTTTAGTTTGGGGTTTTTTGTTTGTTTTTAGAGGAAAAATGGTGGGAAGATAAAGAAATGGAAGAATTTTTTGTCTTTTTTTTGTAATTGGCTGCCTATGTTAATTTGTTAATAACTAAATATTATTTGGTCATGTCTTTTATTACTTTATTAATCCAGTTACCAGCTATCTATTTGTGAATGATTATTTTTTTCCCAATGTATTTACTATTATACTACTGTGAATTTTAATTATTATAGTGCATTCATTACTGTCATCTTTGGGTAGCCTCCAGATAATTAGTCTTGCATTCGTAATGTATTTTAAATGTTCTGATTACAAAGCAATGACCATTGTCAGGAGACTTTTAATAGTAAAATGATGAACCCGTACTAGATCCCCAAGAACCAGTTGCACATAGTCCCAGACAGCAATTGTCTGGCTACTCAAAGTATCTTTTAAAAATGCGATACTTACAATTTTGTCTAAAGCTGACAAATTTCTGTTCTGTGAAATCAACAGATGACTATCAGGATTGAAGATGCTGAAAGGAAGATGCATTCTTAGTAGTTCTATACAAGCACTTTAATGAATGCTATTGCTGTACTTGAGCAAGGCATTTTGGCCCTTTCTATCAGGACCTTACATGTCCAGACGAATGTCCTGAAATCCTCCAGAAGTTAATCAGAAACTCGTCCTCTTTATTCTAAACCAAGCAGACTGGCTTTATTTTGCTTTTTTCCTCAATAACAAGACTTTAAGCCATTATATTAAGATTTTAGAATAATTTGCTTTTTGGTGTTATCTCCAGCCTTTCTTCTGTACAGGAATAGTATATTTCACTTTTTGCTGAGATTTGGAGAGGTTATACAGAGAATAATTGACAAGAGTCATTAAACCAATCTTACTTCTGTTCTAGGGACGAAGAAGACTTGCCCGCGACGCAACCCCTGCTAAAAAAGATAGTGAAGAGGATAAAACACAAGAAAAATTAAAAGACAGTAACAGAGAAAACAAGGATGTAGAGGATACACCTGAGAATGTAGAAAAGAAAGAAAATGAAACTCCACTAGGGAGAAAAAGTACACCAAAGCAAAAAGAGAAAAAAATTAAAAAACAGGAGGATTCTGATAAAGAGTCAGATGAAGAGGAAGAGAGGCAGAGGGAGAGGTAAATACTAACTTGTATCGCCTTCTTACGAGTATGTCTGTGTCATGATTGAGCTGTACTCCAAGCAGGAGTATACACAGAGTTGGAGATCTTACCATCTCAAATATGGAAATCAGGGACCTAATTCACTCAGCCAGACAGGGAGGGGAAAATTTTATTTCAGGCTTGTAGAGTCTGCTGTACTTCATGGAAGCATCTTTTTCTGATAGATGCCAAACAGTATTTTTCACTTGCATTTTCTCGAAGGTCTTGTCAGGGTTGTGTTGGTGTTTTATCACGCTAGTATGTACAGATACCAAGTAGACCAGGCTATGACTATGCCAGGTGCTGTATGGATGGTTAGCAACTGCTTCGGCAGGTTGTTCTGGGCAGTTGAAATAGAAATGGAAAAGAGAGCCCCTTGTCTCCCATGCTTTTGTTTAAGCTCTTAGTGATGGCTGATGAAGCTACAGCTTGCTTGTTTTTATTGTTACTTGATGTATTGTGGGCAGGAAGGGGATCAGCTAATAAAGCAAAGTAGAATGAAAGAGGGAGTTGCAATGAAAACTAGAGGTAGTTTGAAGAGGGAGGGGATGGAGAGACGTGGAAGGCCAGAGGAGAAAATAGCATCCAGAGACTGAGCTTGACAAGTTGAATTGGATTTATAGTCCTGGTTGCAAAGGAATTGTGAGCAGGTGACTAATTTATTACCAGAGTAGACCTCCTCTTAGCTAACTTCGGCTGTGGTCAAGGGCAGTGTCTTGCCTATATAAGATGGCTTTCCTCCCTGGTTTTTCTTGCCCATGTGGCTAAGTGCTGTGAACGCAAGTTGATACTGAATAAAGCCTGATAAGGGGTATAGCATATTTTCTTCTAAAGAGCTTTGAGGAGTGGGGAAAAACAGTTACTTTAAAGAAAGTGTCACTGTGCGGTCCAAGAAAAAAAAATACTTGCAGTGTAGAAATGCCTCAAATGAATGTACAGTGTGGGTGTGCAGCAGGTTGCAGAGGTATGTCAGATGACTAAGGCATCAAAGAGTTTTCTTTAAGTGGTGCTGATGGTGCTTGTCCTCTTTCTTTTAATTGTTTGCTGCAACAAGATAGTTCATCTTTCACTGAAGGCTGCCACATATATTTAATTAAAAGTAAGCCCGTGGTGGTCTTCAGTATTTTCTTTCTTGGTGACTTTGTTGTAACTTAACTTCTACATTATGCTGAATTCACCCTGACATAGGGAGGGAACTATAGGTAAAAATATGTTAGATAGTAATTCTTGAAAATATGTTTAAGTAGAATTTTTAAATATAGGTAATAAGAGCTGTGTAGACACTTAATCTTGGTTAAACACTGTTGTAATCAACTTTTTTTTCAAGGGAATAGTGTTTGTATCCATGAGAGGTTGGTTCAGTGTGATGGCGATGCAAACTTTTGTGCACTGTTAGTAAACTGTAGCTATTAAGCAAACCGTAGAGAAAGAATTATGTTCTTTAAATAGTGTGTCAGAGTCAAGTCTATTAGGAGTCAGACACCGAGTTAACTTATTCCTCTTTTTGCATTATCAACATATTCATTAAAAAATAATCTTTAAGCTTTGAGGTAGTTGTACACCTAATAAATTGCATTTCAAATACCATTTTTCTGGATACTACCCTATTCTCTCTAAGTCCAGTTCTTGATTTCAAAAGCTGTGTCCATATTTTTTCTTGCAGCTTTTTTCTTTTGCAGTAGCTTGGCTACACTAGTTAAATGTTAAAACTTTGATTTTCACTAATTAGTGGGTATTTTAAATACACTTTACTGCAGGGAGGAAATTGAGAACAAAGGAGAATCAGAAGGTGAAGAGGATGAGGAGGACGCAGAACCCTGCCTGACTGGAACCAAAGTGAAAGTAAAATATGGACGTGGAAAGACTCAAAAAATTTATGAAGCTAGTATTAAAAGCACAGAAATTGATGATGGAGAAGTTTTATATTTAGTTCATTACTATGGTTGGAATGTAAGGTGAGGATAACAAATTGCCTGTCACTTATTTGTTTGTTAAAAGGATTATTTGCAAAATAATTTTTGTTTTTAAGAAAAAAAAAAAGAGAGAAAGGCAATAGGTGACTTGGCTCCAAATTGAATTACCAACATGATAACAGGATCTGACTCTTGCACTTCTCAATGTTAGTAATTCTGTTCATGGTTTGACACTATTGCATTGACATCTCAGAATATACTTACTTGTACGTTTCCATCCAGCTTCAAGTAAGTAATCCTCACTCCTCTGAGGAGTATCCCTGTAATTTATTGTGTCAGCTAGTGTTAGCACTATTAGACTTTTTTTATTTAAGAGAGTCATTGATAATGGTGAAGACATCTACACTTAAGTATATCAAGCACTAAAATTTTGGCAACAAAATTTATCCTTGTATTGAATGATAACTGTGATTATAAAGAACAGTTGTTGCGTGTAAAGAGGGTAGGACAGGGTTAAACAACAAAGAACTACAGAAAAAAAAATCATCAAATGCTTCTCTTGACAGCCGTGCTTAATATTCAATACTGCTGTAGAAATGGCTTTTTTTGTTGTTGTTCTTAAAAGTACTGTGGTTATGTAGAGAAAAATACCACAAAATTGATCATTTTTAAAAATAGAATGCTTCTGGTATTTAATTTGAGATGTTCCAAATCCATACATTTCTAAGTAAACTAAGCAAATTTCTTTATGTGGCGACATAATTTTTAGGGGGGGAGGTATCCCCCCAATACTTACATGTGTTCCTTTACCTTATTAATAACTCAGGAGACTTTGAGGAGCACTAGTAGTGTATTTGTACTTTTCAGAATCTCATCCAGTTTGTTTTTAAAAATTTAAAAACTTTTCCTTAAAATAAAATATATTTTACTATTGAAACGTGGTGTGGTGAAAACTGCCATTTGTGTATGATGTGAAATAATTGACAAACTTTATAGCTGACTCAGTCCCCTGAGTTCCAGCGCTTTGCTAGTAAGAGACAGGGAAATTTGCACCTCCATTCCTCCGTCCCATTATTTTTTTTACAGGCTAGAAATGTAATTCATCTTTCTCATGTCAGATACCGCATGTGTTTGTAATATATGCTCTGCTTTCCTACCTCTCCCTAATAAATATTTTCTGTAACTCAGTCTTTTAATCCTCATATTGCAAACAGCTTCTTTATATGCGCTAATAACAGTAAGCTGTTATTTACTTTTAGATACGATGAATGGGTGAAAGCTGATCGCATTATCTGGCCTGTGGACAAAGGAGGACCAAAGAGAAAACAGAAGAAAAAAACAAAAGTAATGGTTATTTCAATAAGTTTCTTGTAGTACAATATTTAATGACTATCACTGTTCCTTATTTAAGAAAAAAAGTAAGTTACCCAGTCCACAGTCTAGTTTTTTTAATAGAAGCGTAAAGTAAAAGGAGAAAAGGTTTGACAATCGGCAGTGAAACATGTTAATAAAAAGTGATTGTTTTCCCCTCAGAATAAAGAAGACGGTGAAAAGGATGAGAAGAAGGATGAGGAGAAACAAAAATCAAAGCGTGGGCGACCCCCTCTGAAATCTACTCTTCCATCAAACACATCTTGCAGTTTATCCAAAACGCCTAATAGCGAAGGTAAATCAGGAGCCAGAAGTGCACGGAACAACTTGTCAGATTCCTCACCATTACCAAATGGAACAGAAGGTACATCTGGTGCACTTGTGTTCTGGCATGGAAGTGCATGTAAACAGTGATGTAATGCGGTGCATTAATGTGACTTCAACGAACAGAGTGCTGTCAGCAGCTTCAAAGTCCTACTTTAACCAGTCAGTGAACAAGCAATATAACAAAACAATTTTTCTGGTGCAGATTTTACTCCATAAAAATTAATACTTTCAATTCTGATTTTAGCAACACCTCGCAGGCAGACGAGACGTAGCTCAGGAATGTTTGATTCTGATAGAGGATCAAACGGTGAGTGATCTCAGTCCTGTGTATGCTTCTGAGGGTATATTTTTTTAGTACGTTTTCAAAAAGAGGTTTGATTTTTATTTTTCACTTTTTTTTTTTTTTCTCCTTGTGGATTTTATTGAGGAAGTAGTTGAGCTGACACTGCCGAGGAGCACAGTTTGCTCACAGAAGAGCTATGGCATGGAGATGACTGTGCAAGTCGTTCCATATTCTTAGCCAGAGCCTTTCAGTCCTCATCTTGAACAGACCCAATCTAGTGGTATAATGATAGTCTTCGTTCTGGTAATTAAGTCCTCAACCTCAGTACTACATCATCCAGCAGAGCTGTTAATTATATACAAATGACAGCAATATTTTTGGTATTTCTAAGTCTCTGTGAACAAGAGCTGAAGTGAAATCACTGTCTCCTTTTAGTACAGGTCCCGGAATAATCTTCTGGTAACGTAACAATGCTTGCTCTGTATATGGCACGTGATTCATACAATAATTTAGCAATGAAATGTCCATATTGGGGTGAGGAAGGGTTTTTTTCTATTTGGGAGTGCTTGGAGGGGAAGAGGCTTGGTTTTTGTTTTTGTAATTCCAGGTTGGGGCAGCATTATGCCCAGGTAGATCATGGGGATCTTTAAAAGTATTTTTGCTACTATAAACTGTAATTTGTTTATAATGGTTTATTTGGGAAATAGTGTAATTACTACTACTATTGTAGTTTCACAAAAATTTTTAGAAAAAGTAAGAACTGTAATAAGCATGTTGAGTAACGCACAATTTTTAATTTTGAAACTGTTTCCTGTGAACTGATGTTAATACCATAGATTACTGAAAAAAAAGTTTTTGTGTGGTTGAAAAAGAAATTGTGCTGAAATTCATGACTTAGGGTGCTGTTTCATTCTTTTTAAAAAAATTTTTGCAGACTCTGGCTCATCTGACAGTGAAGCAGATGAATCATCTGAAAAGAATTTGAATGAAGCATTTTCTCCAGAAAATTCAGAACTGGAAAAAAGTGAAAAACTACATGATGAGAAGCTAGATGAAGAAAACCCAAAGATTTCTCATGCATTCAAAGAAAATGACAGGACTCAAGTACAGCCATTAGAAACACTGAAACTGGAAGTTGAAGAAAGTGAACAAATTGTTCAGATTTTTGGAAATAAAACAGAACAAATAGAAGAAATCAAAAGAGAGGCTGAAAAATCACCTAAAGGGAAAGGGAGAAGGAGCAAGACAAAAGATCCTTCTCTGGAGAATGCAAAGATTTCACCAGGAAGCCAAGAAGAGGTGGCAAATGAATCTCTTACAGAACTGGAAAGATCAGAGCTGTCTTCCTTGGACTGTAAAGAAATTTCCAGCACTACTGAAAGTGAAACAGAACCTTCTACAAAAGATAAGAAGCTTTTGAAAAGGAAAACTTTGGAACAGGCCTCACCTGAGAAGAGAAATCGACGAGAGAGTGAGATGGAAGTGCCAAATATAGTATCTGAAGAGAGGACCAATGAATGTACTGGAGCAGAGGAATGTAGAGGGCTCAATGCTGAAGAGTCCCTCAGAACTGAAAATGAGGAAATGCCATCCCTGGTGGCAGAATCGGTTCA